AGGGTAAAAAGAGATTTTTTTGTCGTGCCGATTAATTTTCTCTCATTCTTGTTTAAGTCCCTCTCATTTTTTACTTGAATCTAACTTATTTTAGCTTCATGCATCCAAAGCAAAATAAGAAGTTAAAGATACTAAAAGACATTTCATGATTATTCTTTAATTGAATTGTCAACCGCCAGTTCTTTATTTAACCACGATTATTTTTGATAAAATTATCAGTCACCAGTACTTTATTAAACTCCTGATTATATTTTGATTAAATTGCGTCATTAAGTTGTGGTTAAGTTGTTAATTGCCAGCTCTACAATTAAGCGTATATTAATCCTCGATTAAGTTGGCAATTGCCTGATCTTTATTTAACACAACGATATAAGGCTTACTGCTTATTTCTTAAACTTTTAACTTTAAACAGAGTTTTTATAGCAGTTTGAGTATTTAAAAATTGCTTCCCTAGCAAACATTAAAAAGCGTTAACCATTTTTTCTCCTCAGTTACATCTTTTGTGAGAGGTTCAAATCCGAAGCGAGTTAATATACATTTTTATGTAAAAATGAAAATACCACGCTTATACCTTCTTGGCTTGCTTCAAAATCAGTTACAATGGTTCAAAATATCGGGAAATAATATTATGAATGATACATCCTTGTTCATTGTTACAAAGTATTTAAAGTATGAACAACCTACAGAATTATATGTACAATAATAATCTATCAAAATGTTAAGCTAAAGAAAATAAGTTGTCAGTCAAAGTAAATTTAAATATCGATTTAACTTATGGTGAAATTGAAATATTCATTTTTTCGAATTAAATATATGTATATACATATATTATAACAATACTCAATTTTGTCTCTACTGAAAATTTAGTAGATATTTTGTACAACAACATATTAAAAGCTTATCAAAATTTTTATTTATTAATAGTATTAAATGCCGTAAAGAAGTTTAGTCCTAACAAAACTAAAGCAAAAAACGTACACAAGATAGTGTTCATTCGTCTCTTTATCAAATATAGGCCGTATACTCAATAGAGGCTTAACTAATGTTAGGCCTAAGACAAGTGGACCTACATATTTCAGTATCTGTGATTAGAATTCTTTCGTATCGTTCTAGAAATCCTGTATTTAAAGAAGTACTGTTGCAATAAAAATACTAATTTGATCGCAATTGTTTTGCGAATATCTGCTAGTATAATATATATATGTATATATAATGTTCATCTGACTGAGGCAGTTCTACAAGGACTACTTTTTTAGTCACTATTTACATACAAACATTTGTTAATGGTGAACATCTATTAGTTATGTAAGACATAAATTGAAGACACGCTTAGTCGAGAAGATTTACGTTTAATTTGTCGTTGTTCTGTCGGTGTTGTTCATATTTGTACCAGATTTGCATTCCATTATACTATTAAATCATATATACTTCCTCTTAAAAGTATGTTTTACATGCATGTTGTATAAACTTATAACAAAGGATCGTAACATTATTTGAATTGTGAATATTCTTCATTAAACTCCAATATTATGACGCCACTGTTCATAAACATGAGAAACAATTAACATGGGTGCGTTTTGATAATATAAGGGTTGAAGATAGATTAAGGCAAAAGTTTAGGGGAGAAAGAACCATTGATTAAAAAATATTACTAGATAAAAACACAAAATTCTTCTTCATGTCGATAGAATGTGTCAGCTTATGCTGAATCAAGGTAAGTTATGAACACACACACACACTAATGTATATATATATATATATGTGTGTGTGTCTGTGTGTGTATATAGTTGTGCTTTTTAAATCTTTTGTTATCAAATGTTTTGGATTACTCCTGTCACTAACAAACTAACAGCTGAAGACAATCTAAAGTTAAAGTAATGATCTTTGTGGTAAAAGTCTGATGTACAAACACCAATAGCTCCAAAAAGTAAAAGTTATAGTATTTTATTCGCGAGTATATGACATTGAAAATAACATTTGTTGGTGTATACAACAACATTCGCTTAAGTAATAAAACTCCATTGATTTGCAGAATTTCGCAAGTCAAACGTACATGTCTCGATGAGAATGTAGGGTATAAAATCCAATTTTGTCGAGTAATAAAACATGCTATTTCTTCGTAGAATATCACAGCTTAATACATTTTTCTGGTGAGATTCCTAAAGTAAAAAAAAAACAGATAAAGTATGAAGTTTTCCGAAACCGGTGTAACTCGGTAGTGAGTCAAATAAGAGATTGGGCTTCATATTTATTTATAGTGTCTTAAACAACTTGTCTGCTGAATAATCCAGAAGAATAAATTAATAGCATCAATGCTATATATTATTCAAGTCCTTTATAAATATAGTTTCAAAATACCATACATAATACATACACTTCACCACTGTAAGAATTCTGGTCTTGTGTTTTCGATTTGTTCTTGTTTAGAGTTACTGGAGAGGTGTTTTACTTCTCTAAACCGGTATAACACAGTAACAAGTGATGAATTGAATAACACAAAAGTTGGGTACGTTATATCAAATCAATTTTGGAGACCATCACATTTTTGCAGTTCTTGACGCCACGTCCAGTCATGCTGTATCTGACGACTGTACATCTTGACAATAACCCTGCAGCGTGGTTTCTGTTGCAAAAGGTAGGTCATAAGGTTGTCATGCTAGAGGCACAGCACTCCTACTTGCATGTTTTCCATAATCCATCTAGTATACGAGAAATGTTTTCTTAGGACACTTCTTAAAAGATGGATACCACAGAAATCTATAGGCAACTTGACGGTTATGTCTCTGTATGGAATAATACGAACACCCTTTTCAATGTCCAGTTGATAGTGGTATGCAATATTTCAACAAATATGTCGTGGATGCTGTTTGAGAATGCGCAAGTTATGTCGCTATTCCAGATAGAGGTCCTACTTAATTGTTTTGGGTGCTGTTGCTTGGTATATATGTATAGCTTTTGCTACTGACATTTATGTTAATAGATTCTGTTACAAGATGTTGTACTTTGCTTAACACGGCTGGATTACGACTTGTTGCAAGTCTCATTCTGGATGTCCCTGTTACCTTAAGTTCATCCATATTCCTTCGTTTTCCAGTGCCATTAAGTACAAGAGATATACCCATCCTGGAAATTATAAATCGCTGATCTGAACACATCTTTATGACCTTAGTGTATAAATGTGTTGCGTCAGGAAGAGCTGTTGCATACTCTTCCTAAAAGCGATAAACATTTAATGGCATCAGATTACCTACGCAACACTAAACAATATCAAAAATATACATATACATATACATATTCTGAAGCCGTTCCACTGTGACTTTATATCGGCTATGGTTGTCACATGACTTGTTTATTTTCATTATCAAAATCGTTTTAATATAACGCACTTAACCCTTTTTATCTTAAACTTTAAAATAAAGCCTATTATTTATTTCAGTTATCAAATACGTTACTAATGCAATGAAGTGTTTGATTTAAAAATCATTTCCTGGAATACACAGTCTTAAGTCGGATTCCTTTAGAGAATAACAACTATCGTATGATTGTTAATATGCTTTGTTTTGTAAGTAATTAGTCGCGCGATCGATAAGTGAGTTGTTTTTTGAAAACTAAACGTCGTTGCAACTTGCAGTGTAACAGTATTATTTACTCAACGTAAGAAAGTGGAATGTTACAATAGATAACGAAGTTGTTTGACCTGTTTAGAGTAATACTGATTTTGACAGTAAGCTAGAATGTGAAGAATGTGATCTCAGTTAATATTAACAAGGTTGGTTCGGAATTATACTGTGACGTCATTGTAACTTAATTAAAAGCAAAAAATAATAATATTAATTACTGAATGAGTTACACATCCTAAAACAAAGGTAAGTTTGTGTGTTGGATGAGGAAATAGTGAACATTCTTGCTGATTTGCATATTCAAAATCGTTTTAACGTAACTTAACTCAACCCTTTGTAGATTGGCTTTATATTTAGCTTTGAATGGTTGTCATGTATCAAATTTCAGTGTTGGATTTCAGTTTCACTTTGCTTGATTAATATTGTATCGACAAGACTGAAATAGGAGCCTGTGCTGGTTCTACTAGTACTTTGTTCACATATGATTAGCTGTGGTCGTGGAATATTCTCAACTAAACTTCACATGCCAAAATAGCTTTCTGAAAATGAAAAGAAACAAAATGGTGAGATGGCAATGTATTCCATTCATTGAAACTGTTAAATCAATACGTCAGGCCTCCATGCAAAGATTTAGTCATGGTTTTTCTTTGAGAAACCTAAAAAAAAAAAAAAACTCTGAACAGTTTCTGTTACCAAATTTTTGTCAACGCGTTTTTTTTTCTTTTCGTTTCTAAAGACATACCGAATTGGAAAGTGTTCTCCTTTATAGGATTTCTGTCCTTTACCACATTGTAAATGTACTCTTTACTTTTTATCTCTACTTGTAATCCTTAATCTTATCTTTTCCTACGTTCTAGTGGCTTGGAAGGTAGATTCGTGTCTACCTTGTTTGATGCTTCAGGAATACTACAGACTAGGAGAACGCTGACAACGATTAAAAAAAGTTGCTTTTCTTCTCTCCGAGATGCTCTGTATATCGAGACGACAAAAGTTAGACGACAAATCAGCTTGATTTTGCTGACGAAAGTTTTTACCTGGCTTCTGTTTTTCATACAAAATCTACTCAGCGCCCCTGGTGGGAAGTGAAATCACCGGAAGCTAACATATTTAAAGTTTTGTCTTGAAAAAGTTTTCTTAGAAGGATTTTAGAGGAAAAAGAAGCTACGAACGTGCTTTCTTACGTTTATATTTCTCATATTTCTCATCAGTAAACGCTCAGTTTTCATGCTATGCTGGAACTATATTCTAAGCACTTGAGTTAAGCGATCATGAACAGTATACGTACTACAAAGTGTCAGTTACACAGATGTCAAAGCTAACCACGCAATGTTTATTGGGTAACTTAAACTTCAGTTGAAGTGGTATAGAGAGTCCACACCCATGATTAGATCGGACATTATTAGTCCAAGCCTCGAGTCTTAAATTATAATGTCACTAGGTAAGATATTTTGTTTATAAAAACGGCTTAAAAACATAGCTGGTTCTAAAATGGATAACTGAGTTGAGCTACAAGTAATCTTCTTTTACTGACTAGGTTAACTAAGGACTTAAAACATATAAACTAAGTTCATTATACCTAAATGTTGCATCAATGATTTCTCGGATATTACAAGATTCTTTAAGAAATTTAAGTAATCTTCTTTTACTGACTAGGTTAACTAAGGACTTAAAACATATAAACTAAGTTCATTATACCTAAATGTTGCATCAATGATTTCTCGGATATTACAAGATTCTTTAAGAAATTTAAGTAATCTTCTTTTACTGACTAGGTTAACTAAGGACTTAAAACATATAAACTAAGTTCATTATACCTAAATGTTGCATCAATGATTTCTCGGATATTACAAGATTCTTTAAGAAATTTAAGTAATCTTCTTTTACTGACTAGGTTAACTAAGGACTTAAAACATATAAACTAAGTTCATTATACCTAAATGTTGCATCAATGATTTCTCGGATATTACAAGATTCTTTAAGAAATTTATTAAAATCTTGAATGGGAATTTCTTAGATGCACATTGTGTTTACTTTGTTACACAATTGAAGCGATAGAAATCACGCAAGGTGGATAAGTTGCTAGAAACCGGTTTAATAAGCAAAATCTCTTTGTATTCATATATTCATATGAATAAGTTTAGATAATATTTTTAAAAGTTTGTTTTTCATTTTCGATTTAAACAGTTCGTTATATTTTCATAAGAGCGAAAATAACCTACCAATAATAAAAAAATAGGTGAATAGATGTTGCAAAAAGTGTTCGTTTTAAAGTTTAATTTGCAATATTTAGTTAAGTTGATTACAAAACCCAGTCATGTATCGTTAGTTTACATTCGATTAAGACCAATTCAGCGTTACTCTATTTCACTCTATTCTCTCCATGGTCGCCTGTCTTCCTTTTAAATCTAGTTGAATGGGTCGTTAAATAGTGGCTGAATGCCTTGATTCAAGCCAAAGTCATGCAGCTGCGACAGTGGCGTTCGTGTCTGTCAAGTCAAAAAGCCGTTTCGAGAAATAAAAAGGTTCCATTGGCCTAAATTCAGTTAGACTGGAGTAAAGTGTACCGTTACTATAACTGGGTAGGTATTGCTGTATAAGAAGCTGTAAATAGCTCAGTTAAAGCGCTAACTGCTTATAGATCAGTTAATAGCTAAACAAAACGTATTTCAGACAAAGCTTTCTTTAAAATGTATAAATATTCAAAACAAGCTTCCTTGAAAATGTATTAAATAGTCAATTGAAGTTTTCTATAAATGGAATATATATATATATATATATATACTAACTACAAACAATATTTAAAATGTATAGCTACTCAATAAACACCTTATTTAAGATTTGTATATGCTCAAAATATGTTTCCTTAAAAAATTATAAACAATCAATGCAAGTTTTCTTTAAAATTTATAAATACTCAAAAGAATTATTCTTTAAAATATATATATCTAATAAAAGCCTTTATTTATATATATATACAGACGAAATGTGTGTTTGTTTGCATTGGTAAATCCTCCGAGCCTATTGGTCCAATCTCAGCCAAAAATTTTATGTAAACACTATGAACTTCGGGGAATGTCCTAAGGGGGGGGGGGGTCAAAATTGAACTTAACCCTATTTCTATTCTGTAAAGCCTGTTGGTTAAGTATTTCCCAGCTTATTTAGTCAATCTCCAACAATCTTGGCAGGTTGACGCTTTAGACCATGCTGAATATTCTAAAGGGGTTCAAGGTCAAAGTACGAAAGTTGCTGGATTGTTTTTCAAACACCCATGCGTTTCTCATGATCAATGAGATGTAGGGTGTTCAAGGGTGGAATCACCTCAAAATATTTATTTGTTGGTAGATGGAAAACAAACTCCAAATTTTGGTTATGAAGAAGTTTTGATACAACTTAATTTTTTTGAAATAAAGTTTGTGTTGAAGTTATTACTTTGAAATATATGATTGCTGTTAAACTTACATTGTTTTAATTATGTTTAAATATTCCCCGTCGGTTGATGGGTATTTCAGCTTCATAAAGTATATAAATACTCAATATAGTTTAAAGGTGCTTAAAGAAGAATTATCTAAAGCGTTGACCTACTTTGCTTTTATCAAATAGTAAACTTTCTAACTGGTATACTACACGAATCCACCAAACTTCAACCTCTTGAAAACTATAGCCACTGTAGAAGTTACAATACACATGCTTATCTATTATACATAGCCACTATTCGCAATTGTTTTACCTCATATCTAGCCTATGGGCTGAAATGAAATTACAGAGAAGAAAAAAATGATACATGTAGTTTATATTACACTTATACAATTTCTCCACGAAATTATTTCGTTTGTTAAAATTATCATACTTTAATCTAAAACGTTGTTAGCGCTATAGCCTGTATGTCTACATAGCTTTAAATCATGGTGTCTGTTATTTATTTCTCGCTAACGCTTTAGCCCTTTTGAAGATTGACAAAATTAGAGCAAGACACAAAATAGAAAAAGAAAAAAACGTTTCACTTGTTTGTTTTTTTCTCCAAATAAGTGATATTATGAGGTGATGGTAAAAATGTTGTTTTGACACACCATGTATTTGTGAATTTATAAAGTTTTAATATTATAATTCTTTTTACCCTCTTTATATTGTAAAGTCCAATATAAATTTTCCGCTTTCTTGAAGTTTTGCAGTTACGAGATGACATAGACGATCTATATTGTTAGAGAACAATTTTCCTATTTATCCTATGAAAGACTAACGCTATTGATAACATTTTGGTGTTAATAATCGAGAGTAAATAAACACATGTAAGTTTTGAACTGGCACATTCATTCGTTGTAATGGTACAGACTCCTGTCTTCTCGTTTATCTATGTTACAGGAAGAAAAGGCAGCCAGAAATACTCGGCTAAACCATTAGGAGCGGCGAACTAAAAGGAAATCTACTCGAGTTAGCTGTACCATGAACAAATCGAAATTTCTAGCACTCTCACTCTTTTTTTTTTTAACTCTTCATGTAATATTCTCAATTTATTTGTTTTAACAAATCCAGAAAGACTGGAATTGGTTTCTGTGTCAATTTAACAGTACAAATTTCTTAAAAAACAAGATATTTAAGTAAAATCAACTTTATGTGAACAGACGAAAAATGTAGGTGAAAATGGTTAAAATATATTGACAAGTAGAGTAGTTCACAATCTAAACTATCTAAAGTACGTGATAACTATGTTATGAATATAGTACAAAGAACAGTAAACTATATCTTAGCTAGTTATTGACAAACATTGACCTTAAACACAATTCTTACAAACAACTTGTGTTCCAACAATGTGGTTGTAAATATTAAAATATACGTAAGATAATTATCACACACACTATCAAACACCAGTAATCAAAAACACGGATATTATTGTTACAAACAAAGTGGAACAAAAGACACATACAATAAAACCAAGTACTACAAACCACAAACATTTTGACTTTCGGGCCCAGTGAATGTCCGTTTGGGCGGGCAAAATCTTCTGGTGTGTTTAATCAACTATTCGGCGTTGTGAGAGTCAACGTTTATAATCAGTATTCAAATAAACTATAGTAAATTTTTACTTATTCTGTACGGTTACTCAGAGTGAAATATTCCATAATGCTCATATCATTGTGATAAGTTTAATAAAAATAAACTATATGGTGGTACTTCTAGCTCTACATACAGTTTACTTCTCAATATCTTTATTTACAATGCTGAAGCATCATTTGAAAGATTTTACGTTTTTGTTTTAAACTGAAGTAAGTATTATCATATTGTTTGTGGTTTTACGAATTTCCTTATTTATACTTTTAAATCTTACATTATCTTATTTTCAGATTTGGTAATACCTTTACGGAATAACTCTCGAATAGAGTGTTGAATGACTCTTATTTTGTTCTATAAGTCTGATAAAAAGATCGTTTAAAAGTAAATGGTTGACGTGTTTTGAAATTAAATATGTATAAGCTTACAATCAGTGCGGTGGTCACGGAATTGATACACCAAACTTCGTAAAATATTTGTTGAGAAACCTGCTGATAAAAATACCCAGGAAATTTAACAATCCGAGCCACGCTTCACAAGATCATAAAATAACACCATATCGTTCTTCTCTACATGCTTTATATTGTTCTATTGTTTCTCTCCTCAACAGTATCAACCGTGTCTCACTGATACAGAAATACACTCTAAATGAACATAAACATTATGTTATTTCATAACAACATACATTGTGTTTCTCAAGCACACACTTTTGTCGACTATAACACAAGTTATTGTTGTAGCAGTTTTCAATTCATAATATTGTTTATTTAAATACATTACTATGTTGTAAAGTTACATTTTTGTTATTTTTGCTTGCTGTTAAACGCAAAATTACTCAATGGGCTGTCTTTGCTGTGCCCAACGTGTGTATCGAAACCCGATTTTTAACGTTGTAAATCCTCAAACGTACCGTTGAGTCGCGGGTGAGTTTTTATTATGTGTATCAAGATTATATAAAATTCAACAAAAAGATTGTGCATTCTTCAAACACATCTGTGTTATGTTTTGTTAGCCCACAATGATTGTTGTTTTTAACTTGAACTTGTGTTGTAGTCATTGAAACATCACATCTGTGTTCCTCAGAACACGAGTTGTGTTATTCTTAACAAATGTTATTTTTACAATGTATGACAAATGTGAAATATCTGGGATTTTGTTAAGAAATTCTGTTTCTCCCCAAAAATTAATGAATACAATTTGTATACGCCTGACTTTATGTTTTAAAACCAGAAAGTTAAAATGATGAATGATAATTCCGCTGTTCAACACTTTGTTACTCAGTAAATTTGTCATGACTGCTTGTCAAGTTTTACTAACGTTCTCTCGAATGACTAGGGGAAAAGAGCTATTTTCTGCTTGCTGAAATCCCATCTCATGGAAGAAATATATTATGTGATTCCTATTATTACGGAAATTTTGTCCAACATTGATTAAATGTATACACTATTTATTGGAAATAATGTGAAATTGGTTAGACAACTAGATTCAAAATCAGACAAATGTGTGGAACTTTCCTAGGTGAGTTTTTTTTTTACCTTTGTAGGGGATTTATTTTATTTTTACACATAGATGTATTTTTTCAAAATATGACAAGCCCATTGGTTATGATATTTTAATATAATTTCAATTTAATGTCTTCTAAGAAATAACACCAAGACACTACTTTTGTTATACGGGTAATTTTGGTCATAAAAAATAACCAAACATTTATTTCTATTTTTGCAGTCGCAAGTTCAATGAATGCAGAATATGAAAACTTTGTTGTAAGTTTGCAGTTTCAGTTTCGTTCAAGCTAATTCCCAACCCTCAAATTAATTATTTCAAGTGTGTGTAAATGAGATGAGAATTTACAATGGAGAAGGAAAGACGGTAAAAAGACTTCTGCCCCCCCCCAGTGGCACAGCGGTATGTCTGCGGACTTACAACGCTAGAATCCGGGTTTCGATACCCGGGATGGGCAGAGCACGGATAGCCTATTGTGTAACTTTATGCTTAATTACAACTACAAACATTACAAAAAAGACTTCTTATGCAATTATTATATTATGTGAGAAAAATGAAACAGAAAAAAAGCTATTTTGGTGTTTTTGTGTGACTTATACAACATGCTATAGATTGTTTGGACTTTATGCAGCTTATGAGTGTATATATAGATTATCAGTTGTTTTATTTCAGGAATGTGTGTTAAGTATTTTAAAATTGAGTCTATCTATCAGATACTTAAATGAAAATTAGACTAGCTCTTTGACTGTAGTTTGCGTTTTATTTTTCTAATGACTCATAATTTCAAAATAAGCATTTTTAAAAATGAGCTCCTATGCTATCAGTAAAGTTTAAACAACTTGCAGCACAAACTAAATATGGGATATAAACAGTAATTATGATAGAGGTTAAAATTATATTCAGAATCTAATGAATATATTACTAGGTAGTTGAAAACATATAAAAATAATAGGACTTTAACGCCTGCGTTATATCTTACGGACGTAAGAACTGAATCTACCAAACTTCTTTTCCTAAGTATAACTAAAAAAAATCAAATCTATTCTTACAAAAAATAAAAATAAAACAATTATCTGTTATATATTTTGTGCTAAACAGGTTGATTAAAAGGTATATGTTTTCATGGTAATTAACTGATATTTCGCATGTCCAAATAAAATGATATTCTAAAAACATACAAAAACACACACATCAAATCTATTTTCAAGCAAAATATGGTACTATACTTCCTCTGATATCCACGATACAAAATAAAATATTCTACAAAAGGATCCACTTTTACGATATATCTGTGCTGGGATGTATAATGGGGAATGTTTGCACGCGTGGGGTTTATGTTTAAACCATATATACGATAGGAATACTTTACTACAAAAAAATCCTAGTCGCCACACAAATATACAGAATTTCAAGTTATGGAAGCGGATTTCAGTTATATAAAAACAATCAAAACAACGTGTTATAAACAGATTTATAGAATTCATGGTGTTAAATTATGTGCATTCTTTCTTTAGAAGAAACGTACAATCAGTATATCTGCTTGAATTTAATTTAGGCTATTTCATTAAATCAACCAATATCATCAAAAACTCCTACTTCGCGTATTTACAGCTAATGTATAGAAAATTGAATCGAAATTCAGATAAATATAAATTTACCTCAAAGAAATGCATGAAACTAAAGTGTTGTGTTTACTTCAATGAAGCTGCTTTAAAACATACTATGTTAAGTTTTATTTATGCGAAAGTAATCTTCTTTTGATAACAAAGCCAGGACATATCTTATTATACACAATTATGTTGTTTTCATGGGATCCAAGTTTTAGTTTAATGCCATCAAAAACATATGCAGATGTTCTTTTCCTTTCATCATTAGTCTTTTATCATCTTATGACGTCAAGTCTGCTTGTCATGTGCATCTGTTACATTGTCGTATGCAAAGAGAGTATAAATATTTTCACATCGTTGAAATACCGTGTCGTCTCATATGGAAATTAGCAAAGAACAAAATGAGCATTTAAACCGTGTAATTTATACTCATGCAAAATATCAGCAGTGACTTTATGGATTTCTTAGATCGTTTAACATAAAGTCTACGAAAATCTACAAATATCAAGATTTTTATCAGATAAATGGGTTGCTCATATGACACATAAATGGTTGATGCATAACATGCTCAAAGTCTTATTTTCTTATTAAGGAATTTCATATAAAAATATAAGAGATTTTATTTAACTATTCTAACTGCTAAAGGTAAAAGTATACTCGTTTTAAGGTAAATAAACAACAAAATGCAATTCTATACGTTTTTCACTTTATATATTATAATTCGCCATAGCGAAGTGAGTTGTCTAAAAACATTTTCAGTGATTTACAATGTTTTATCTTGGGAACCTACCTTCAAGATGCCCCACAGTGGCACAGCGATATGTCTGATGACTTACAACGCTAGAAACCGGATTTCGATACCCGTGGTGGGTGGAGCACAGATAGCCCATAGTGTATGCTTAACTTCAAACAATAACAATAACAACTGACCAAACAAGGTTATTTTGAAAGAAGGGCTATTAACCAGAATTTACCACCGTCACCATGTTACTTGGTTAAGACATCATGCCAACTTACAGTTAGGACACTGGCGACATGCCATCTTTTCAGATTAGTCCTGTTAAAACTGATGGTAGGATTTGTGTTCGTCGTTTGCCTGAAGAACAGATGAGGGAAGACTGTCTTTTCCGCAGAAAACACACACAAGGGGTGGTGCAATACATGTTTGGACAACTATTCATCATGGTGGAAAAATTGCTCTTCATATCCTCCAGGGAAATGTCAATGACGCTTCCTAGAGGCATCACATGGAGACGATATTTCTACCATATGCTACGGCAAGGTATGGCAATAACTTTGAGTTCCAGGTTGATATTGCCACTGCCCATAATGTGTGTATTGTATAGGGTTATCTCGACGTTACAAGATTACCATGGCCAGCAAAGTATCCAGATTGTAATCCCATTGAAAACTGTTGGGCAGAACTGATCCAGAAAAAAACACGAACCATGACCCTACTGTAGCTGAGTTGCAGCGCCTTCTAGTGACAAGTTGGGATGAAATCACGGTGGATTACATCAACAACCTCATCGACAGCATGCCACGTCACCTTGCGGAAGTTATTAGAGTACGAGGAGGACCAACCATGTACTTAATATTTAATATGAACTGATATAAGGTTACAGACGCTGTTTATAATAATTTGATGTTATATTTTGTCATTACGTATATTTGGGTAAGGTTTTGTTGTGATAAGTGAAATGCTGAATTGTACATCTTTCTACAGGTGTCTGATAAAATTGTTTACTGTTCTGATAAATCGTTCATGATGTCCATAGAACCTGTCTCAGTATACAAATTACATATGTAAATGTCTAATATAACATGCATTTCTTAATAATAATGATCGTATTTGTTACAAAATATTAAAACATTGTGGCCAAGACTATATAATATGGTATCTAGTCCATTACAGGGCGTATTGAGTAATAAAAAGTAACGGGAATAATTTTAAATCATTTGAAAATATAAATAGCAAAATAATTTGTTTTCAGGAGCATTGTGCT